ATGTATCCGGCCTGTAGAGGCTGATGCACCATCATTGACTGAAGTGCAATTGTACGAAGACAGATCCGCTATCATGGATGGAGCAGCAGCAGTGCAACACAGGTCCGCCTTGTAGACAGTGCTACAAAATGGAAGGCATGCCAACACAGCTACCATTTGTTTTAGATGAATGAAGACCAACATCAAAGCCAGCAGACGTTAAATATGTAGAGTACAAGATTAATGCACATACCTCAGCAAAACACAAGGGCCTTCATCTTATGGTTTCCCATTAGCATACAGAACTACAAAAGGCAGCAGACCTGTACTCGTCACCATACACACAGGAGTCAGACCAGGCAGAAGTTAGAATCGCATCACAATATCACATGTGAAATTTTAACACAAACATGTAAGTACCCCATCCTACCAATATTTATCCTCACATACTTGTTTTCAAAATTCTTTTATGCATGGCAACACTACACCTAAAGAAGTGGTACTTCCACTTTTGGACAAGCATGATCATACATGAAGTCGTTTATTCTTTACAATTTTTTTGACAAAAAAACAAACTTGAGTTCATCCAAACACACTTAACAGAAGAAAGAAACCCTAGCCGCCAACAAGAGCAATCTCCTCTCCCCTCAGCCTCCGGCCGTCAATCCGTCGCTGCGGCATGGAGGGGAGAGGATTATCTTCTCTCGTCCTTTGTGCAGTAGGTTTTGGTCTCACAGCGCCATCGCTCCTACCCTGATGGCGGGGTAATCTCGAATAAAAGTCCTCCGGCTCCAATCCCGTCTCGGTGATGCCTGCTGTGGCGTTGTTGAGGTGCCTGGAAGTTTTTGTCCCCATTTTTCTTTATGGACGACGGGCTGGTTATTTGTGTTGTCCGTCAGCATGGCTCCATGTGCATCGTCAAGGCACATCGCATTCTTTACCAACCTCCTCTCTCAAGCATTTGCAAGCAAGAACACCGACTTGGTCTGACGATGCTAGCCCCCATGGCATGTTGACACTGGTCTAGTTAGGGTCGCCCAGCCCTTCTCTTGAGCCAGAGATATAACTAAATGTGTCGCCATGCAATTATATGCAGGCTAAAGAAGGTAAGCATTGGACTAACCCAACTACTCCCTCCGTCCCGTAATGTAAGACGTTTTTTGACTCTAGTGTAGTGTCAAAAAATGCCTTACATTATGGGACAGAGGGAGTACATGTCAACATGGTCCTTAGATGCAGAAAGATTGTTTTGGTTTGATCCAGAAATTCCATACAACAGGATCCTAGTTTTATGTAGTCAAATTTGAATGGCAAAAGAAACAACAACTTACTGGCTGTACCAACTGCCAAGATAGCATACCAATACTAATGAGGGTCCTATTGTTTACCATTGCAAATTAAAAGATGTACACACTAAATCTGCAGGTCTTGAAAGCTACTATGTCTAACTGTGGACAGCCATAGGCCTTTATACAATGTCTCCAGCATGATGTCTTGTTCATACAAAATAAATAGATTACCAAACAATCTTCAGTTTATGTTGAAATGAGCGCATGACATGACCAGAGCGGAGAATACATTAGAGGGATCCAGATAAGGCATGATGGGAAAATAGCTTGGTGCAGAACGAATCCAACAGCTAAATTAGAGTGTCTACTATAATGCGCATGTTGGAATAACCAGAGGATTGCCACAAAGAATCGAGGTCAAGAAACTAGGTGAACATTACAAACCTGCTGCAATTATTACTACTTCAACTGTTAAGTTACACAAGATAAGACTGGGTAGGCTCATTCATGTCAGGCCATTCCTCACAACCTGCATTGACTAGCACAGTGATTTTTCAATTGAGCGCCAAGGATTCGAGAGACTGGGGTTAAAAATGTAAGGAGAAGCCATAAAATGGAAAGATCCATTATATGTTACATTACTCATGGCATATGGTTACTTGGTTGGCCGAAGTGTGATGGACACAATTGTGGCAATTTAGCCAGAAGAGCATGACAGGTGGGCTAGGTGACTAAGTGATTATGAAACGAACACAATCGATCTTGCCTGAGTAACCCAACAACAGAAAACATCTTTGGACAGAACAGAACTTTGCTTATCTTCAAGATAAGCACCTTAAAGAGCACCAGGCACATGCCATGTCATGGCCCTTGTGTAATTCACAATAAAACTATATTGACATAATATGCCCACCAAACAGAAACCTTTTACTTTTGTAAAACATTGGTGATATGAAACCTTCAGTTGCTCATAACTGTATTGTATGGGCCACGCAGATACATGATAAGTTACGGTACAAAATGACAAACTAGAGCATCTCATACAACATTTAACTTTAAAAAACCAATTCCAGTTCTAATATAGGCTCATCATAGTGTATCAGGTAAAGCCTGAGAAACAATTAATCAAGTTGTCCATTCTCACCCATGAGGTAACATAAGCAAGGAAGAATTTGCAAATTGATGGTTTCAGATTGATATATAAGAAACTGAGACCCACAAGATTTATCGCCTAGCACGAGCCATCAGTTTACCTTGGACGGACCAGGAAGGAACTGGAGGTCCAATTTGACTGAGTATCGGTCATGCATGTCAAACAAATAGCCTGCAAAAAGAAGAGCCATTGTTAATTTCAAGCCCACAACCAAACAAGTGCCAACTTCGTGCTATAACACTGACATATTTTGGGATAGTGAGACACAAACAAAACAAGGGATTATGCTAACTGTAGAAAGTCTGAAATCAATCGTCTAGGAAACAAAGTTGATGCACTAAAATACTAAAAAAAAGGAAAAATAGTAGTAGCAATACGAGGCACTTGTCTCAATATTCAGGTAAAAGTTATCTGGCAGATGCTGGATATGAAATGAATAAATGCTACACTTATATTTGCAAGATGTGTGATATATAAACAATAGTTAACACGCAACCTACTGGAAGTGAAACATGGCAGAAAAGAATACAGCAAAGGGATGTATTCTCTATTCTGCATGCAGATTCTAGCATGTAAACTCTAGCTCAGTAAGAACAGGAAAGTTGTGCAAACAAACAATGAAACAATCACCAAGGGTTGACAACTGTCGTAAGTACTTATGTAATAATCACAACTTAGGCACACAATGATATTGATACAAAGGATGTGCAGACCAAAGCTCAAAAGAATTGGTAATCTAAGTATAGAATACTACTCCCTCTGTCCGGAAATACTTGTCGGAGAAATGAATGTGTCTAGACGTATTTTAATTCTAGATACATCTATTTTTATGCATTTCTTCGACAAGTATTTCCGGACGGAGGGAGTAGAATGTAAGGGACACAGTTTCAACTGACAATGATGTTATATTCACCTTGCAGAGACTTCATGGCAGAGAAGGCTTGGGCAGGAGTTTCAAAGTCAGCATAAGCTATTACATGTCGACTATTATATCCTGTGTTGACCAGCCTTACTGCACAGAACCCAGTAAAAGGGCGAAATATATCTAGAGAAGCAAGAGTCAAGGAGCTGAAGCACTAAATGGTGCAAGCTAAAACACAAGAAAAGACTGAGACATAAGATTGGTAAGAACATAAACATACAACATAATTCACTTATTAAGAAAATGACAAATAAACTCAAAATAATAATAGCAAAGGATACGTGCAAGTTCCCGTCTAGTACAGTTGGGCGGGAAACCTTCAACATGTAGGGTGTTTGATGCGTCTGAAGGAAGATATGGTTCATAAGAACCAATAGAAGGCATCTGTAAAGATGCACCAGGTCAATTAAATAATTCCGTACTTCACATTTACTGACGAAGCTGCTAGTCTTAATGAGGAACAAGGGATTATTGTGTTACCTCATTGTTTATGTAAGGCCCATAAGGCAGTCCCATTGATTCATCAAATCCAGCCATTTCCTGCTCACAACCAGTCATCCGCGGTCCAAAAGGCATGTCTACAGAAGGGTGTAATAACTAAATTATATACTTATATATGTTACTGGGAAGGAATGAACTTCTAAAAGACACTGGGCGGCACGTGACTCGTGATTGCTAACAAATAGGGCTAAAGGGGGACAGATCCCTCCCTTAACTGTCCACTGTTAGGTAGAAGTGAGACCACTCCGCCAATATACGTGGAGAGCACCCAAGCGGATAAGGTAGAAGTGAGACCACTCCGCGAATAAACGCGGATAGCACCCAAGCGGATAAGGTAGAAGTGAGACCACTCCGCGAATAAACGCGGATAGCACCCAATCGGAGTCCCCATGGGGATTTAAACGCAGATGTGTAGGTTGAACAACCTGAACTCCTACCACTGGGCTAGCGCTCAGTTCTCTGATCATGATTGCTTGAAATTATTAATTATGCCTACCATTTAAAAAGCAAGCCCAATAAAAAGAAACAGGACAACATTAACTAAAATGTGGATCTAACTAGATCACATATCAAGAAAGGGACATCCGGAGAGGGGGAAAAGGTAATCTCACTGTTACGGCGTTACCAATGTGGAAAGGGTTTAAATAAGTTAAAAAATGACGAGTATATCAACGTTTCAGTATCGTGCTAATGATGACCTCATTTGTCATCTATGAGGTTGAAATGGGCATATGCACGCTGATTTTTCATAACACACATTAAAGATATTCACACATACTGATAAATGTAGGGAGCTTTTTGAGTAGATTGCGATTTAGTTAACCTATATCATGCAGCTCAACGACGACAACAAATATAAAACTAATGCCCAAATGACAATTAGTCATACTCAATAAAATATTGGAAGGGTACTAAGAGGAAAGAGCAACTAGCTTTATTAAACTATTAATTGTTGCATCAAAAGTAAGGGTGCTACCGTGCTACGACGTAGCAGCATGCAAACCCTAAGCTAGACCGACCAGATTGACGGAAGCACTATTGACGAATTCCATTTTTTCAGATTTATAATATATTTGGTCATATGAGGTCCATTTCAAAGCTCTTTAGAACAATAGTAGAAATATGTGATGTCAGTTGTGCGCCAATGTTTTTAACAGAACAAAAGCTAGGCAACACTTAATCAACATGTCAAAATGCTACCACCACCATAGAGAAAAAAATCCCAGAACTCCATCCTATAACTATCTTAGGATTTTTTTTCTTCGAAGATTTAAAAGGAAAACTTAGGCTAAGGAAACAATAAGCTGTCATTAACAAATTCAAACCTCCAGTCTACAAACGTGATGCAGTGATGCTTAAAAACAGGTACGATATGACAATCAACAACATTTCGAATGTCCATGTTGAACCATAAGAGAAACAACCACAGCGCTGACTATTAAGCTTCCCAGAAAAAACTCAAAGATATGTCTATACTGCTTATATAGACATAATCGAAAGCCTGACCGTACATATGGCCAACAATCAGACAATTGTATAAGCTACAACTATAATCATAAAAAACATTGTATGAACTACAACCATAAGCATCAACAAAATCTACTCTATAAACTAAAACCATAAGCATCAACAAAATCTACTCTATAAACTAAAACCATAAGCATCAACAGATCTGATACGGTTTCATTTCTCTTTGCTAAACTATCACATCTACTACTGTTGTCCCTTAAACTTTTATATGAATCTGCAGGAATAAAACAAAGCATTAATCTAACAGAGGCAGAGCATTGAGCAGTAAGGACAAACCGAAGTAGTCAGGGCGGTGATGCTTGAGAGGAGGGGGGCCAGCGGGCAAAGGCGGCCGTGCCATCATGTGTACGGCCTGTGGGAGATGCAGCGCCGTCATCGGTAAAGGGCTTGCACGCAACAGCGGGTGCCCCATCATGTATCCGGCAGGTGGAGGCTGCAGCCCCGCCATGGGTTGAGGGCCGGCCGGCAACAGTGATTGCCCCATCATGTATCCGGCATCATGGATGAAGGATGGAGGAACGGCAGGGAAAGGCAGAGGTGCCATCACAGGTCTGCCTTGCGGGGGCACGGTAATGACCGGCTCCCGCAGGGAAATCGGCACCACCGTGTTTGCCCCTTGCATCACCGGATGCGTCACGGGGGAGCCTTGCGGGGGCGTCTGCGCCGCCATGTAGGCGCCCTGCTGCGGGGCCGTCTTCATCACAGGCGTGCCTTGCAGCGGCGGGGGTGGCACCCCTTGCTCGGTCGGGAGCGCTCCAGGAACGCCGTCAATCCCCTCCGACTCGGCGGCCTGGTGGAGCGGGTCGGCGGCTAGCACGGGCGACTTGGGGACGGCCATGGCAGCCTGGTGGACCGGGTCGGAGGCGAACGCGGATGAGTTGCGGGCGGCCATCTCTGGCGACTGGCGGCGGAGAGGGCAGGACGTGCCGGATCTATCCGCCGGAGTGGGGTAGGGTTTCGAGAGACGGCGGCGGGTGAGGGTCGGAGGAGGCGCGGGCTGGGGCTAGGGCTAGGGAAACGGGGCATCCTTATATGCGACGGCGCGCGCTCCGGGTTGCCGGTTTTGGCATCCGGCCGTGGCATCGGGGTCGCCGTTGTGGGAGGAAACGCGGAAACGGCGAGGAGGTGCGGCGGTGTGAGCGCGCGGAGGCGGCAGTGCGAATGGGTGAGTGGGTTTCGCGTGCCGGGCCTGCGTGGGTTTCTGGTGGGTTACTGGGTTGGGTCGTGTTCTTTGGCTTGCTTTTGGCGCAGGCCCAGATTGCAGGTGAAAGACTGTCCATGGCAGAAAATGAAAGAAATTCTCTGCTCTACAAGTTTGTTTCCAAGGTCTTTGCAAACAGATTTTATTTTTGCGAGAAAACTTTCTATCTATTCATTTTGAATCATGGAAGTACAACGAACATCAAAAATAATAAAAATAAAATCTAGATCCGTAGACCACCTAGCAATGACTATAAGCACTAAAGCGAGCCGAAGGCACGCCGCCGTCGTCGCCCTCCCTCCCAAGAGCAGGGCAAAACTTGTTGTAGTAAATAGTTGGAAAGTCTCCGTGTTAAGGCCCCATAGGACCAATGCACTAGAACAACAACCGCCGTCGTCGTCGCCCTCCCTCCCAAGAAAGGGTGCCGAAGCTCATCGATGTTACTATAGCAACATGGCGGGAGGACGTTGCACGGTAGTTTTTATTCTGATAGACGCTAAAGTAATTTTGAAGATCCCTTTATGCATGAGACATATAGATAATTTTTGGGCTTTGCAAGCGGATGAGAGAGGAGGTTTTTTGGTTTTGTCAACATACCATATGACCATGAGACTTGAGATGGCTTAAGAGGACGGGATTGAGCATCGAGATAGTGCGTCTGGCACTGAATTTGAGAGCAAAAGATGGACAGTGATCAGGTAAACAAAAGTTCCCTCAAAGCTCTTTTTTTTCTTGGCGACTAGCGCATAGCTATATTCCAATAGGTGATGTACTCCCTCAGTCTTTATTTAGTCTGCATATTAAGTTTGACTGAAGTCAAACTTCGTAAAATTTGATCAAGTTTATAGAAAAAAATATAAACATTTACCATAACAAATCTATATGATATGAAAGTACATTCAATAATGAATTTAATGGTATTGATTTGTTATTATATATGTTAATATTTTTGTTTATAAACTTGGTTAAAATTTACAAAGCTTGACTTTGATCAAAGCTAATACGCGGACTAAATAAAAACGGAAGGAGTATCACATAACAGAACTATGGCCACGATGGATGTGTGTGCGTTATGCGGGTTAATGGACAACTGGAGTCACTCTTTGCTTGACTGTATCATGGCTCGAAGCATATGTGCTCTGTCGGACAAGTCAATGGTGGAATATATGTGTCTCTACCAAGACCCAAGTGCTAAGAATTGGTTGTTTGTCATGCACGAGGAACTCCCAGCTGCTGAGTTCACCACTGATGGCCTGCAGGTACACAGGGCTGTAGTAGCACTTTTGTGATAAGTAAGTGTCAAACCCACACAGAACGGAAAAAGGAGGGAATCACTGACCCTGCAACTACATTGTCATTAGCCACAATGGATAGTAACATAGAGTAGTAACATGCTCATGTCACTACTCTATGTTACTATCTCTATAGTGGGGAGTAACATATGTGTGGTAACATGCAACACTTCATTTATTAGGCTATAGATTTATCTTGCCTTGATATGTGTGATGTTACTTATACTAGTAGTAATTAGCTATGTTTCCATATGCCTTTTTTTCATTTATTTTTTTCGAGGAAATAGCAGGAGTTCTGCCTTTGCATTAAGAAGAAGAGAATTGGCCAGTTTATAAGGAAAACTGGCCGAAAACCGATACATCGATACACACCAGCCCCGAGGCTACGTACCTAACGAGCCGACTTCCCTGTCGCCCAAACGACCAGAGTTGCCGCTCCACCACACGACCCAGAGCCGCCACTCCGGCTTACAAACCACATAACACGTCGGCCCCGAGGCCGCACCCCGCACGAGTCGACGACTCTGTCATCCACACGACCAAAACTGACACTCCACAGCACAGAGGTGCACTCCAGAGCCGCCGCTCCGACTTCCCCGCCGGCCCCGAGGCCGCGCTCCACCTGAGCTGACGACGCTGCCGCCCACACGACCAGATCCGACACTCCACAACATTGTTTTCCGGAGCCGCCGCTCCGACTTCCTCACCGGCCCCGAGGCCGCACACACGCATGGCCGACGATGAACCCGCAAAGCCACCCGAGCCACCGTGAATTGACGAAGGACCAGACCTCCAAGGCGTCGCCCCCAAGAGGGAAGCGACAAGTATGCCACCGACGCCCGCTCCGACCAAAGGTCGAAACTCGGGTTTTCACCTGGAGAGCCCGAGACCGAGACGACAATGGTGGTGAAGGGGCTCCACGACGACGCCTCCAAGGAGGGAACGACGTCCTAGGGCGCCGTCGGTGCCGGCAATGACCGAGGTCGAGCTAGGCTTTCGCCCGGAGCTCACCAAATCCATCCTCACCGCAGCCTGCCCAGCAAACTGTCTAACACAACTTTGTGTGATGTTACTACCTATGTTACTCCCACTATGGGTAGTCTTAACGCAACTACGTACGCACCCAAACTGGAGTTTGGAAATAGTCTAGTCTAGCTAGGGAAACAGAATAAAAAGATGTTTACTACAATAGGAACTATAAGGTAGAAACAAGAAATAAAAAGATACTATGCAATCTCTCAGAAGGTAATTGATTAGCCATTGTGGGGGCTTCTACCGGAAAACGCATTGTGAAGCTACTGAGGGGGCTTCTACCGGAAAACGTTCGATTAGCCATTGTGAAGCTATGTGCATTCCTCAATGCAATCTCTCAGAAGGTAATCGATCTAGAAATCATACCAAGGTCAGAGAATGATTTGGTGCAATGTCTTGCCAGTTTCAAGTTGGTGTACTCTCCATCCTTCTTCAACATCATGACACACATTCTTGGTCATGTATTTCTACACAATATGTTCCCCTTTGAGAGGTTCATGGGAGTCTTAAAGAAATAATATGTTCATAACTGTGCTAGGCCAGAAGGAAGCATCTCCAAGGGCCATGAAAATGAGGAGGTGATACGTCCATTTTGCATCATGCTTATATATCAATATTTATTGCATTATGGGCTATTATTACACATTATGTCACAATACCTATGCCTATTCTCTATTATTTTACAAGGTTTACATGAAGAGGGAGAATGCTGGCAGCTGGGATTCTGGGCTGGAAAAGGAGCAAATATTAGAGACCAATTCTGCACAGCTCCAAAAGTCCCGAAACTTCACGGAAGTTATTTCCAGAATATATAAAAAATACGGAGCGCAAGAAGTACCAGAGGGGGGCCACCCACCAACCACGAGGGTGGGGGGCGCGCCCTACCCCCCTGGGCGCACCCCTGCCTCGTGGCCCCCCTCATGGCCCTTCGATGCCCATCTTCTTCTATATGAGGTCTTTCATCCAAGAAAAAATCATAAGCAAGATTATGGGATGAAACTCCGCCGCCATGAGGCGGAACCTTGGCAGGACCAATCTAGGGCTCTGGCGGAGCTGTTCTGCCAGGGAAACTTCCCTCCGGGAGGGGGAAATCATCACCATCGTCATCACCAACGATCCTCTCATCAGGAGGGGGTCAATCTCCATCAACATCTTCACCAGCACCATCTCATCTCAAACCCTAGTTCATCTCTTGCATCCAATCTTTGTATCCAAACCTCAGATTGGTACATGTGGGTTGCTAGTAGTGTTGATTACTCCTTGTAGTTGATGCTAGTTGGTTTACTTGGTGGAAGATCATATGTTCAGATCCATTATGCATATTAATACCCCTCTGATTATGAACATGAATATGCTTTGTGAGTAGCTACGCTTGTTCCTGAGGACATGGGAGAACTCTTGCTATTAGTAGTCATGTGAATTTGGTATTCGTTCGATATTTTGATGAGATGTATGTTGTTATCCCTCTAGTGGTGTCATGTGAATGTCGACTACATGACACTTCACCATTGTTTGGGCCTAGAGGGAGGCATTGCGAAGTAATAAGTAGATGATGGGTTGCTAGAGTGACAGAAGCTTAAACCCTAGTTTATGCGTTGCTTCGCAAGGGGTTGATTTGGATCCATATGTTTCATGCTATGGTTAGGTTTACCTTAATACTTCTGTTGTAGTTGCAGATGCTTGCAATGGGGGTTAATCATAAGTGGGATGCTTGTCCAAGTAAGGAAAGTACCCAAGCACCGGTCCCCCCACATATCAAATTATCAAAGTACCGAACACGAATCATATGAACGTGATGAAAACTAGCTTCACGATAATTCCCATGTGTCCTCGGGAGCGCTTTCCTTCATATAAGAGTTTGTCCAGGCTTGTCCTTTGCTACAAAAAGGATTGGGCCATATTGCTGCATCTTATTTACTTTTATTACTTGCTACTCGTTACCAATTACCTTATCACAAAATTATCTGTTACCGATAATTTCAGTGCTTGCAGAGAATACCTTGCTGAAAACCGCTTATCATTTCCTTCTGCTCCTTGTTGGGTTCGACACTCTTACTTATCGAAAGGACTACGATAGATCCCCTATACTTGTGGGTCATCAAGACTATTTTCTGGCGCCGTTGCCGGGGAGTGAAGCGCCTTTGGTAGGTGGAATTTGGTAAGGAAAAATTTATATAGTGTGTTGAAATTTACTGTCACTTCTTACTATGAAAAGTAATCCTTTAAGGGGCTTGTTCGGGGTATCTTCACCCCGACCGGTAGAGCAAATAGTTGCTCCTCAACCTATTGAACCTACTGAAAATGTTTACATTGAAATTCCTTCGGGTATGATAGAGAAACTGCTAGCTAATCCTTTTGCAGGAGATG